CCCGAGCGCTCGGTGCCGCGTACCGGGGATGCTGCCTTTTACCGGCCTCTGGCTTTTAAAAGATCTCTCCAAAGTCTGGCTGACTTTTAAACTTGGTAGGAAGAGGGGCAGAATCGAAGCTGGGCCCTGAAAGTGCCTGGGAGTGTTCTGAAGGTCTCTGGTAAATATCCGAGGAACTGGTTAATCTGTGCTTGAAACCTAAACGTTTGAGCACCGAGAGTTGTGAAAACGTTTGCACAGAAGTACTGTTTCCCTAGGTTTTTCTTTTTCCTAAGCTGAGGAAATGAAAGAGAGGCCCATCAGTAACGGTGTAATGTTATACATTAAATACCCCGTGAATATGGTAGGGATGAAAGCTAATTATTTTCGGCTGGGTTAGACTGCATTGAGATCAGTTCTTTCGTAGGCCGTGTCGCTAGCTGTGCTCGTGCGTCGATGCCTGTGTGGGGTCAGGAATGAGTGGTGGGTGTAGGATAAACAGGATGCCACAACTTGTTCTTGATTGCAGCGCTGGCTTGTGCTTGCTGTAATTGAACGGTATCCAGGGCTGATATGGGAACCCGGAGCTCTCAGCAGACTTCAGGTTGCTTACAGCAAAAGAAATTATAATGCTAGCTACTTGTCCTGGACTCTGACTTATTACCTTTTGAGACACTTGTCTTATTGAGTAGTGTATTCTCTATGTATTCACAAATAAATACTTCTAATCCGTCTCAATAGCTGTCTGAGTACGTGCGATTAAAATAGAAGTCTCAACTGACTTCGCTTACGATGTCGACCAAACATTCTGCAAGTATGTGGTTAACTTTTTCTCTTCTATTCCTATATCCAGAAAATAGACCTCTTGGGTCATCAAATGTAATTTGCTGCTGTTGCCCTTGGCAACATGATATGTCTTTTCTTAGGCTTACCATTGCCCTTCTTAAATTAGGTTGAATTTTTGGACTGGACTGCTGCTGGATCTGTGTTTGTCTTCAGTTGAAGTGTATTCTGGTTACCAGTCTAAACTTATCTGTGCCCAGCTTACCATCTGTAAGCACTGGTCATAAACAGTAATAACCTGATGTAGTTTTGCTTCTGGCATCACCCAGTCCCTCATAAGGACTTTGGTTTTCCATGTCACTGCTACTCACAGCTGCTCATTTGAGGTCTGGCGTGTGCTGGCAACCTTTGGTCCACTTTGAGCACAGCACAGTGCAAGGATTCAAACACCTTTCAGGATGGATGCAGACTTCTTGGTCAAACAAAGCAAAAAGTGGTGCTTTGAAAGCCCAGTGCAGCACAGAGAGAGTTGTTTCCTCAGAGCGAGGACTGAGAAACAGGTATAATCCAGCTGGATCTCAGATGTGCTGTGGGTTGGCCGGGTGACCTTGAGCCAGTAATTTATCCTGTTCTGCCAACTTGTGCCCTCTTATTATTTTGTACTTTATAAAGATAAGAAGTGCCACAACCTGCAAAGATGCAATGGTCGATTATATTGGGTTAATAGCATACATTTCTCCTGATGTCTTTCCAGGAGTGTTTAAAGCTTTTGAGCAGGATTTTCGCAATTCTTTAGCGATAGCTTCGCTGCCCTGTATGACTTCAGAACAGGAACAGATACAGCAACTGAAATAGCTCCCTTAGTGCATACGTTCCCAAACTGAACTTATTTTATCACTGTCATGGAGAATTATTAAATACTGTGAAAGTAATAGTTGTTCCCATGGTCATTCTGGGTCATATCTGCACGTAGGAGAGGGGCCTCTAGATCCTTCCCCTCTCACCTGGAGACAGTGCGTCGCGCCATGGCATGAGGAGGCACATGAGAATGTGTTTGGGCAGTTCTTACTGCTCAAACATCCAGATAGACATTCCTCTTCTCTTCTGCAGGAAAAGATGAGGGGCTGTTTTGGTTTTGTTTTGCATACTGCTTTAAAGTACCTTGCATACCTCTAATAGTAGGCATACCACAGCTTGGAGGCCCTTGCTTTTATGTGTGGAATGACAAAGGAAGAGAACAAAGCATTACTAAGTATTATTTTTTTAAGATGTCACATTTTAACCAATTATATTTAATAAATCACTGGAAAGATCTATTTTTAAATTAATCTGGTCTTGCTATCTGATTCAAAGTATTTTAATAGTGGTTAAGCATTCACTATGCCTCGTATTTCTTTTTTCCTCCACTGCTCTGGATTTAATCCTCTAAGCATATTATTTTCAAGCAGTAAATAGTATCTTGGAATGCAGCTTGAAATGCATGTGGGTATTGTTGATAACTTTCTGAAAGTGCAAAATAGTCCTATGTCTGCATAGGTAAAATATCATCTGTACTTTGTAAACACGTTATTCCAAGCCTTCAGTCTCCCTAAGATCTACTGAAATAATTTTGGAGGCACTGAAAACTGCACAGGGTAACTGCAGAGCGCTTTGTGGTGATACTTATTGCAAGTAACAAGGCTGAAAGACTGTTTTGCGTGTGTGCATGGTTGAAGTTGCAAAGTGAAATCTTTAGTGTACACGCTTGAGAAGGAAAAGCTCTACTAGTAGACTTCCTTGGTGTCATGAAGCGTTTTACAAGGAGTCACTGTTGCATGGGAGGGTTGTTGAAGGTGTTCGTGCTCACTGCGATGGATTGGAATCTCTGCCAGCAGGGCATCTATCTGTTTGGGCAGCCACATGGTAAACCAGGTGATTTATCTGGTTGAAAAGCAGTCTCTTTTTCTGGATTATTTTTTAGTCTGTTATATACATCTATATATGTGTGTGTGTGTATGTATTTGATCCAGGTTGCTACATGGCCACGCAAATGTTCTTGTTGGATCGGAGGTGGAAGGAGCTCTGAGCAGCAGTGCCACCAAACGTTGAACTGTGGCTCTCATGTGACCAGTGCATCCTTCTTTGAAGATGCCAACTTACACTGGCCCCGTTTGTGTGGCTGCTCATAAGCCCGATGGGCTCAGTGAGTCTGTTCACTGCAGGTCTCCAGGAAGGATTCCACAGAAGTTTTGTCGGATGGTGTCCTCCACCCTCAACCTAGCAAACAGAAGAGTTTGTAGCTTTTTGCATACAAAGAAGCAGAGGGAGAGGAAAGAGGTGTCTTGTGGGTTTCATCTGTGATGTCTGGCCAGGGATTTCTGCAATATTATTTCTGTTGTGATGTTTTAGATTGCTGCCTCTCCTAGTGTCAAATACTGCTGCGTGTGTGCTGTGTGAGCGGCAGGGCAGACAGTTCTTCACATACAGTGTAGTATTAAAAACTCAAGAGATGTCACGGTGAGCGCTTATGGGCAAAGTTAGATGAAAACAAGCCGTGTAGTCTTGCAGAGGACTACTGTAGCGCTTGAGCCGAACTCAGCGTAGTGCTGACCGAGACGGTGGGTAGCTCTGCCTCCAGCTCCACTCAGGAAAGAGCCCCAGGAGGTATCTTCCTCCCTCTGCACCAGTGCTGCAATTGCAGATTGTGGGAGGGCTGCGCACACGTTGTGCGCGTGTGTGTGCGCTGCACATTGGGCGAGCGCACGCACCTCATGTAGGTGCACGTTGTGCAAGTGCATATCCCGTGTGTGTGCACCTTGCACACGTGTGTGTGCGTGCTCCCGTGCACATCGTACAAGTGCGTGCACCTTGCGTGTGTGCACCTGCGCGTCGAGAAAGCGCGCGCAGCAGGCGCATGCCCACGTGCGGCGCGTGCCCGCGTGTGTCCCCGCCCCGCC